CTCAAAAGAATTTCAACCTCTGTTGCATTTTGAGTATTTAATACCATATAAATAAAAAAACGAACTTAACAAGTAGGCTACGTCTTTTACTTTGATAATTTGCATAGGCCTACATGACTTACCATTATCCTATCAGAATCCATTATATTGTTGAGTCTGCGTGTTATAGTGAGTACTGTGCACTTCTTGAAATGATTTTGAAGGATGTGCTGTATTATAGTAGTTGTACTGAAAAAGAATTGAGAAGCACAATTATTATTATTATTAGCGGTCTATTATAAAAGTATTACTAATGGACCATTCCAGGGTGTCAATCAAACTTAACAACTGACCAATCAGAACATAGACAAAAATACACACTTGTCCCACAAACACATATGTTGTGGGGCGAGGCTTAACGCAAAGGTATACATTATTAGGTTGTAAAGTAAACCATAACACTAGAATATAAAAATAAAACCAATTTATTTATAATATAACTGAAGCAAGTTTTTGAAAAAAAATTTTTTTATCTAGTTTTACAGTAATACCATCAATATCAATCATGTTATCAGTATAATCAACAATATAATTGTAAAATAAGAATGTCATTTAGTCCCAATTAAATTTGCAATACGTCTCCTAATAATTGTAAAAAAATGTTATTTTATTTGGAAGCATCTAGTCCTCCTGAATTATTAGCCTGATATCATCACTAGATCACCAGGCTTGCGTTGGTGACTAGTGTTGAATTTGATCCACAACATTATTGTCATCATACCTATCACACAATTTTGTTTTGTCTGTTGTAAAATTTATTCATTATTAATGTAAATTGTAAATATTCTATTAACTTTGTAATTTCCATCATGTTTACGTGATGCTAATGAAAAATAAAGAAACAAAAAATTGTAAAGTATTGTTACCAGTAATATTATTATATAGTAATTGTATTGTTCTGAATATTGTCATTGTCATTTTTATTACGAAATAGGCCTATATTATTGTTTATATTTTATAATGGGAGAACGTCCCATGGTATACAATCAGCAACAATTATAAGAAATTAAATAATATTTGTTATAACGTACATCTGGTCGTCAAATTTCGGCGGCTCTTCAATAATTAGAATATTATTGCGGCGAAGAATGGCTTTAGCGAGGTAAATCAGCTGGCGTTGTCCCACGCTAAAAGTATTTCCCTCAGTTCCCACTGCCATGTCAAGCTTACCCGTGCATTCTCGAATATACCAGTCTAATCGCACCTACAGTAATAGGATACATTTATACAATTTGTTCAATCAAAATATCTTTCTTAACCAGCAAAAACTGATTAATAAATTATTCAGATACCACATGCTATCTTATAAAAAAAAGTCTTTAAAAATGTTGCTGAATGACTTCGAAACTAACGGATTAGTCATGATATCGTACCTTCTTCATTGCTTCCCACAACGACACGTCATTGTATTCGCCAAACGGATCTAAATTTGCACGAAGCGATGTTGAAAACAAAACAGGATCCTGAAATAAGAAACAGTGATGAAACGTATTAAACATCATGTTTGAAAATAATGTCAGCTGACGGACATAGCATTTTCATTAGGCCTAACGTAGGCCTACTTTCATAGCTAAAAAGTTGATACAAAGGTTTAAGGCAATACCATTTTCTGTAGCCATGATTACGTAGACTAGCAGTGCCTTTATAGGGACATTAGTAATATTAACAGGTTGCTAATACTTTGTGAATATATTTTGTTTATTTAATTCTATTTGTCGCCACCACGGAGAATCAGATGTGATCCGACACACTGTAATGATGCATATTGTAAATGTATAAATTAAAACTCTTTAGTAATTTCTTTATTAGTCTTGAAAACTAGGAACAAATATATACACATGCGGTAGAAACCCTCCTTTGGCACGCCCCTATTCAGGGGACACTTGTGGTAAATATATATATATATCTGTGTGTGTGTATGTATATTCTTGCTCAATGTAACTGGTAATCAATGATTTTAGTAGTGTCAATTTGAGTTTCATTCAAAGCTAAAACGTAAAAAAAGAGTAAGCAATTCATTTTCGTTGAATTTCTGAGAATTTTGTAGATTTTAACACGTGCTCAATATATTATAATGTAACTTGCCTTTGGTACAATGGAAATCTTCTTTCTGAGATCATGAAGTCCAAGAGAACTGATATTATCGCCATCAATAAATATAGTTCCCGTAGGCTCGGCAAGACGGAATAACGCAGCAACTATTGAACTTTTGCCGGCACCTTTTCTGCCCAATATTCCCACCTTTAATACATAAATATTTTATACACTTAAACAAATATTTAGGTCTATTTGTATGCAATGATGCTGTTATGAGTAACGGGTCTATATTGGATATTACTTTTGCGAATTAATGGATTGCGGTATCCTACTATTATTTAGTCTCATCATGATGTTCTTCAAGTCCTCCACAATGGTTCTAAATTTTTGGAGACCCATTGCTAAAATTATATGAATCGTACCTTACAAAATATAATTCTAATTAAAAAATCATTATAACTTGGCATCTAAGCGTTAATTATGAAATATAGTTGTTTGAATAACTCATCTTATATAATGGTCTACTCATTCTCAATGCATAGTAGGCAGTGAATTATAGTAATTCACATGGCAGTAAATTTGTCATTAGGAAAATTAGTTAAATAGTGTAACCCAAGAATTTCCGATTACCTTTCGGATACACTAACTTAGCTATGAGGCAGGGATACACACCATTGGATTTTCCATTTGAATAATTAATAATAAATCAACCGAAAGGTTTTAAGTTCGAATCTTCTAGTTCGAATTCCAATGCGGATGCACGTGCTCAATTAAATCTGTTATTATCAGCAATGGAGATATTTCTCTCTACCAGGTCATAAAGGAAAGGAGTTGTTGCACTTACCTTTTCCCGATGATGGATCATGAATGACAAGTTCTTTAAAACTATTGGACTTTCTGCAGAGTAGGACAGGAAGACATTGTTGAAAGTAATGGCGCCCTCGCCTGGCCGAGATGTTGATGGTTTGGTGGATTTAATGTATAGAGGAGCTTCAGAATATAATTTGGTGTACTCTATAACTCGTTTAACTGACGTCATCTAAAGTTAAGGTTTTAAAGGAAATCAATTTAGTTTTCGATTTACATCTTATTATTACAGTGTAGGCCTAATTTACTCCCAACAAGTTTAGGCCATACAGATACTAAACGTTGCTACTGGCTTATACTACACCCACCACTACCACTAGTACCGGTACTAAGCTATTACTGTTGCTACCACAAGTGATGGTGGTGCTGCTGGTGCTGGTGGTGGTTGTGGTGGTGGTGCTGCTGCTAATACTACTACTAGGCCTACTACTACTACTTTTGATTATAAATGCACTTACAATTGTTTCCGTGTCGTTGATAGTGAAAACACTCGTCTGAACCAATTGGCTTAACAATATTGATCGGCCAACAACAATACCAACTAAACCAACACTTAAACCTGAAATTATAATTCAAAACACTTTTGCCGCACTCCATTAATTATTATGATGAGCATAAAATCCAATTAGAAATTATAATACGAAATAGGTTTCCAAAAGGAAAAACTTAAAAAACACTTGCCGTTAGCAATTTCATGATTCCTAAAGTACATTTCTATTAGTAGTAATTAAAAAAAAAGTAATACAAAATATTGATAATAGCCAGCTCCGTACCATTTTTACCAATGATACTTCCTAGTAGTATAAATACTATAAATATGTTAACAATGCTGTAGAGGGCAACAGCTATTCGTCCTTTGGTTGCTTGGTCCATTAACCAGGCCTCGCTATAGCTGTCCTGGACGTTGTAGAACGATTCTATAAAATTCGTTTGTGCGTGATGGGAGCGTATTGTAGTTAAGCCACCAAAGGTCCTATTTACAAGTTCATCAACTGGCAGCCGTACTGAAATTTAAAACAAAAACGAATGCTAACTGGAATTACTGTTAAAAAAATAGATTTTGAAATTTATGTATTTCATATTAACACTAAAAACTGGATTGCAAGACTGGATTACATAAATAACTTGGATCGAACACATAAGCCCAATCAAGATCATACAAAATATTGTAGAATTACATCCCATAAACGTTCCCAATTTCCTTGTTGATCCTTTATTGAAGCATTGAACATTGCATTCTGGTGTGGATATTAGCGATATACAAATCCTTTGTTGATTGATTGATCGATTGATTGATTGATTGTTACAGTTATGCTTTGTTGGACCTTTGGCTCAATATTCAAGGGGTAGAGCTTAGCAGAAGATGTGTTTATATGATTTTAAGCTAATACTGTAATAGTACTGTAATACTTTAAAGCATACATACATTTATTCTCCAATAGCTTTATATCTTTCGTTGTTTTGAGTGTGTAGCTCCTAACGTACCAAACAGAGGCAAATATCGGAATTGCTACAAACAACAAATACCAGCTCATAATGATGTTGACTATAACGATACTGCATGTAAACAATGCAATTTGGATTGAAGATAACATAGTTTTCGGCAATTCAACTTCCATTGTATTCATATCACTAATAAAACGACATAAAATACGATCTGAAGAATAAAACAAAAAAATTATAAATGCATCTCTGTTTTAATCTTAAAAGCATTGAACATTGCATTCTGGTGTGGATATTAGCGATATACAAATCCTTTGTTGATTGATTGATCGATTGATTGATTGATTGTTACAGTTATGCTTTGTTGGACCTTTGGCTCAATATTCAAGGGGTAGAGCTTAGCAGAAGATGTGTTTATATGATTTTAAGCTAATACTGTAATAGTACTGTAATACTTTAAAGCATACATACATTTATTCTCCAATAGCTTTATATCTTTCGTTGTTTTGAGTGTGTAGCTCCTAACGTACCAAACAGAGGCAAATATCGGAATTGCTACAAACAACAAATACCAGCTCATAATGATGTTGACTATAACGATACTGCATGTAAACAATGCAATTTGGATTGAAGATAACATAGTTTTCGGCAATTCAACTTCCATTGTATTCATATCACTAATAAAACGGCATAAAATACGATCTGAAGAATAAAACAAAAAAATTATAAATGCATATAATTGTTTATCTGAAACTATTATAATAAAAATATAAACGCACATCATTTAGTTATATTAGTAGTGTGTTTAGATAATGAAAATGTTTAAACACTCACAATAATTAGTTTCTAAACAGCAATAGACATACTGTACGTAACACTGCTAAGCATACCTACCTAATAATGTGCTGTCGAAGAAGAGCAACGGAGCACGGAGCACGCGCTCAAATACAGTCTCGTGAAGTTGTCTGCAAGCATTCAAAGTGATGAAGAAAAACAGAATACCGTATAACACAGTCATTATCGAAGAGACTCCAATGAAAACAATGAACAGTATTGTAGATTCTGTGTTGTCTAATGTAGCATAGCTGTAAGGATCTAAAAACTAAAGAAATAGTATCATTGTGAGCTAGACGAAATATCAGACGTTTGAGTATAAACGGCTAGAAACATGATCAATGACACACTACAATTGTCTGCGCATAAACCAGTGGCATCTAGAAGTCCTTTCGATGAGGGGAGAGGGCTGATAGGGGACGCGAATGTGAAGTGAGCGGGGTGGGTTCAATAATTAATAAGGTGATTTGTTAACTACTTGAGCATAATTATTTTGCTTCGAACATTTCCAGTGGGAGGGGAAGCGAGCTTTTTTGGGGCCCGCTTCCCCGTGCACCCCTTAAATACGCCACTGCCACCAACTTGTTACTAAAACTGACACCAACTTGTTACTAAAATACCCAACCACCCTAACAAAGGAGCTACAAAGCATATATTTTCTACTATTTAAATTTCATTCATTTTCTATTTAGTTGATTCCGCCTTGAACTGCTTAATGTATTTTATACGTTTTTAAATAAAATTCCAAGCTAATACATGATACTTAGGCCTACTGCCTGTCAAAATTTCGGTACAAAACATTCGATTAATGCACATTCGCATTTTGAGGTTACGAAGGACAGTACTTTTATTTTGGGCCTTTAAATTCGCTTAGTGGCAGTTTTAAGAACTGTATTCTAGATATTTTCAATTCATTACCCTCTCCTCGTTACAGGTTGTATAATTAAAATGATGTCTGAAGCACTCTTCTAGGTTTGCCCAATGTGAAATCCAGAAATCCGTCAACACGTACGTCACCTGAAATTTTGATTGCTGTATTTATTAACATTCGATTCTAAAAAAAATTGACTATTCAATAATAGTAAAAGTCTGTCAGACATCGAAAATACTAAACTACAATATGTAGTTATTTGCCTCAAAAGGCGACAATACGTTTATTCAAATTTATTTGATGCCTTTAAATGTACAATTCAACGTTTGGATTGAACCATTGAGATTGTTTCATAATTAGAAATATAAATAAGATAAGAACACCTACTTGTGTTATTAACAAACTAATTACCAATACGGACAGTCCAAAGTCATTCGTGCCAGCGTAGAAGTAATCTGCGTAATGCTTGTTACTAATTTTATCTTTTAGTGCAGACTTAGTACCTTTGGAATTGATAAGCTACAAAAAAATACACCAATAGCGTAATTGATTGCTTGGAATATACACAATAATAAAAATACGTTAATAATTGTATAAGCATATAAAATAAACTTCGAAATAAATTTCATTAGGTCTAATGAGAAAAAAAGAATAACTTGTCTTCAGAAATGAAGTCAACACAGGAGCGATAAACGGCGTAAACTATTCTCATTAAATCGTCTCTGGTTTTCTCACGCATATTTATATGT